TTTGTCTAGAAGTATGGATATACATTGGACAATCTATTGAATGTGTCTAATCTTAAACTATTGCCCATTCTAATCAGGAAAAATCTTTTATTATTCGTGCAATGTTTTCAACAAAAAGTTCGTCTAATTTTACAAATCATTCATCTTTACTTTGTGTATTTTTCATTTCTTGTACAAACTTTAATTCCGTATGAAAACAAACCTATTTCCTTTTGTAGAGTTTTTATGTGAATTAGTTCTCTTTTATTATCATACAACTGATTAATAATATTTTTTTAAAGGATGAAGTTGACACTAAATCAGATTGAGCAAATGTATCGTTCATTTTTCAGAATAAATTCATTTGGATAAAATATGAGTTTTCATTTCTCATATTACATTGTAATGATTGCTTGGAGCATTTTACGGTCTTGTTTTATTCTGCGACAGTTATCGTAGTTATAATATTATAGTTGAACTCTTTAGTTCAAGGAAAATCTAGATAGCGAAATATTCTATGGTAGTTACTATACTTTCAAATATTTTGATCAAATGTGTTTGGTTTCACATTTTACTTAGAGTAGTTCTATATCCATTACTAGTAAAGTAACAATTAAAAAGGGAATCACACACATCAGTCTCACGTCGTTGATCCTTACAGAACTAAAAGTGTTGTAAAATACTTCGGTTACTTGCATTCTGCGTTTGTTGACGCAACTTGTCACAACTGGGGTAATGCGAACATTAATAAATCAGTCAATATTCACTGCCAATAAATTCGATGACATATGAGTGAAGCGATTGGGCGCTATTTAATCTAGCTGGGCAATATCACTGGGTGGCATTGGAGATTTTCAATCACTCAGTAATTTATATAATGAAGTGGCATGATGTGAGATTTTTCTGTCTTCATTATTCTCTGAATTTGAGTAAAACTGATATTAGGATATCCAATGAACTCTATCAATTTTTACAGCTAAACCAAAGTTTAGTGTGAATAAATAGTGCCCCCTTTTTTAGGTTTTATATGAACATTAGGGTTATAAAAAGTATAATAATCCTTCATTTTTCACCAAGGCAGTTGATTGTGTTACTGTGTTTTTCTGTGACTAGGACTTGCATTGTTCTATCTGATTACTACGTAGTTTCCGATTTCTAATTGCATGAATTAAAGCAAAGCAAAGCGCAAAATATTTAGTTGGTCAAGATTAAAAATTATCTCAGGTGTAAAAACGGGTTTGATGTTCAATTCTTTGAACTGAAGTTAATATCCACATATGATTACAAATTCCCTAGTTTGGAAACTAATGAGGATTGAACTTGTTAGTCAAAACCAACCTATTTTGTAATATTGGTTGATTTTATTTTTTAAAATCAATGCTAGGGTGAGAAAAAAGACTTAGATGGTCTTACCGTCATGTTGAGTTCAAGAACACTCTCCGAACTAGATAGTTCGTAGATTTTGAAAACCAAAGCAGATTTCTTTTCATCTGCTTGTTTATGATCTTAAAGCGTTGTGGTCAGCGTCGATAGAATGCTGTGACATTAAGCTTCTTGGGATTCCTTCCTATGAAAATTGTAACCGATACTTAACAAAATTTAATATTTTTCGAATTTTTAGTCGTAAAGGCGGTATATCTCGTTAAGTTGTAAAAAGCGGCGTTGTGGACTGTATCTATCTTGTTACTACTGTGTAGTTATCGTGATTTTAATCATTCGTACACATTACGTTTTATTTATATATACATACATATATATACATAAAATAGTTTCTCATTCTCAAGTTGAGTTGTATCTTTTAGGATATACGATTTTGCCTTCCTTATAAAAACTCATTAAGTTATAAGTACATTTGAATAAACTCCGCCTGTAGCTCCTCCAGGGGCTACTGCCGGTCCCAAGCCCGGGTAAAGGAGGAGGGTTGGGCATGGGGTTAGCGACCCCATCCCGTAGAAAATCAACTCGCTAAAAAAACGCTAACCAGAAAAATTCATTCAAACCATTCAAACTCTGCCCTGGGAGTAGAAGGAAAAATGACGTCTCATGATGAAAGCCGAGTTCCTTCGGAAGTCATGAGGCCGATGCACCTTCTTACAACCAGAGCGACAATTTTTTATAGGTACATGGAATGTCCGGACAATGTGGGAGACCGGCAGAGTCTTCCAAATTTCTGCGGAAATGAGGAAATACAACCTGGAAGTGCTTGGAATCAGTGAAACACATTGGACGCAGGTTGGACAACAACGACTGTCTTCAGGGGAACTTCTGTTATACTCCGGTCATGAAGAAAAAAATGCCCCACATACACAAGGAGTGGCACTGATGCTGTCTAGAAAAGCACAAAATGCACTTATAGGATGGGAATCTCATGGACCGAGGATCATCAAAGCCTCCTTCAGAACAAAGAGAGAGGGCATTACAATGAACATCATCCAATGCTATGCGCCGACCAACGACTACGATGAAGACGCTAAAAACCAATTCTACGATAGGCTGCAGTCAATCTTTGAGAAGTGCCCAACCAAGGACCTGACCATTCTAATGGGAGATTTCAATGCCAAGGTTGGAAAGGACAACACTGGATACGAAGACGTCATGGGACAACATGGACTGGGAGGAAGGAACGAAAACGGTGAGAGATTTGCAAACCTATGTGCCTTCAATAAACTGGTCATAGGTGGCACCATATTCCCACACAAAAACATACACAAAGCCACTTGGATTTCACCGGATCACACTACACAGAATCAAATCGACCATGTCTGCATCAACAAAAAGTTCAGGAGGACGATGGAGGATGTGAGAACCAGGAGAGGAGCTGATATAGCATCCGATCACCATTTGCTGGTTGCCAAGTTGGAACTAAAACTCAAGAAGCACTGGACAACGTCGCGGACAACATCACAAAAGTTTAACACGGCCTTTCTTCGAGATGCTGACAAACTCAACGAATTTAACATAGCCCTCAGCAACAGGTTCCAGGCCTTTCATAACCTACTCAATGAAGAGGGAACCACCATAGAGAGAAGCTGGAAAGGTATCAAGGAGGCAATCGTTTCAACATGTCAGGAGGTTCTGGGCCAAAAGAAGCACCATCACAAGGAATGGATCACTGTTGGTACACTGGATAAAATTGAAGCAAGGAGGAACAAGAAGGTAGCAATCAATATCAGCCGAACAAGAGCAGAAAAAGTCAAGGCACAAGCCGAATACACAGAGGCAAACAAGCAAGTGAAGAGGAGCATCAGGACCGACCGACGTAAATATGTGGAAGATTTAGCGATGACAGCGGAAAAGGCTGCAAGAGAGGGAAACATGAGACAACTGTATGATACAACAAAGAAACTTGCTGGAAATTACCGTCAACCAGAAAGACCAGTGAAAAACAAGGAAGGCAAAGTAATCAACGATATTGAAGAACAACGAAACAGGTGGGTAGAACACTTCAAGGAACTCTTGAATCGACCAGCTCCACTGAACCCACCCAACATCGAAGCAGCACCCACAGACCTCCCAATCGATATTGGCCCACCAACAATTGAAGAGATCAGCATGGCCATTAGACAAATCAAGAGTGGCAAAGCAGCGGGACCAGACAACATCCCGGCAGAGGCACTGAAAGCAAATGTAACAGCAACTGCCAAGATACTCCACATCCTCTTCGGTAAGATTTGGGACGAAGAACATGTACCAACAGACTGGAAAGAAGGACTTCTCATCAAGATACCAAAGAAAGGCGATCTGAGCAAGTGCGACAACTACAGAGGCATCACTCTCCTCTCAATACCAGGAAAAGTCTTCAACAGAGTATTGTTAAACAGGATGAAGGATTCCGTGGACGCTCAACTTCGAGATCAACAAGCTGGATTTCGTAAGGATAGATCGTGCACAGATCAAATCGCAACTCTACGTATCATTGTGGAACAATCAATCGAATGGAATTCATCACTGTACATCAACTTCATCGACTACGAGAAGGCATTTGATAGCGTGGACAGGACGACACTGTGGAAGCTTCTTCGACACTACGGTGTGCCTGAGAAGATAGTAAATATCATACGGAACTCCTATGATGGACTAAACTGCCAAATCGTCCACGGAGGACAACTCACCGACTCGTTCGAGGTAAAGACCGGTGTTAGGCAAGGTTGCCTACTCTCACCCTTTCTCTTTCTCCTGGTGATCGACTGGATTATGAAGACGTCAACATCTGGAGGAATGCACGGGATACAGTGGACAGGTAGGATGCAGCTTGACGATTTAGACTTCGCGGATGATCTGGCTCTTCTATCACAAACACAACAACAAATGCAGGAGAAAACGACCAGTGTAGCAGCAGCCTCAGCAGCAGTAGGTCTCAATATAAACAAAGGGAAAAGCAAGACTCTCCGATACAATACAACATGCATCAATCCAATTACACTTGACGGAGAAGCTTTGGAGGATGTGGAAATCTTTACATATCTGGGCAGCATCATTGATGAACACGGTGGATCAGATGCAGATGTGAGGGCGAGGATCGGCAAAGCAAGAGCAGCATACCTACAGCTGAAAAACATCTGGAGCTCAAAACAATTGTCAACCAACACCAAGGTTAGAATTTTCAATACAAATGTGAAGACAGTTCTTCTGTATGGGGCAGAGACGTGGAGAACTACGAAAGCCATTATCCAGAAGATACAAGTGTTTATTAACAGCTGTCTACGCAAGATACTTCGGATCCGATGGCCAGACACTATCAGCAACAAGTTACTGTGGGAGAGAACAAACCAGATTCCAGCGGAGGAAGAAATCAGGAAGAAGCGCTGGAAGTGGATTGGGCACACTTTGAGGAAATCACCCAATTGTGTCACAAGACAAGCCCTCACATGGAATCCTGAAGGTCGAAGGAGAAGAGGAAGACCAAAGAACACATTACGCCGAGAAATAGAGACAGACATGAGAAGAATGAACAACAACTGGAAAGAACTAGAAAAGAAGGCCCAGGACAGAGTGGGTTGGAGAAAGCTGGTCGGCGGCCTATGCTCCATTGGGAGTAACAGGCGAAAGTAAGTAAGTAAGTACATTTGAATAGGAAAGTTTTGATTTCAAACGGTTTCACCCCACTAATCCGAAATATCCATTTAAAAACCGATTGAATTTCAAGGCTTTTTTAAAGGTTTATTAAATAGTTTTGGTGAATTTATTTATATATTTACCTTCGAATTCTATGGTAACTAGGAGTTCACTATTACTTTTCTTATTTGTGTTTTAAAGTATGAATTGCTCTGTCAGAAACGTCAATGAACCATATGATGATATAATAGTCATCGATAGTGATGTTGACAACAAGAGTTATATTCATTCGTCCGATGGTAGTGACGAAGAGGAGGGATTTGACTCAAATATCGCTTCTAATGAATTGAGACAAGATAAACTTGACTATCCAGTTAAAACATGTAATAATTCTCAAGGACGAATTCGTCAGAGGGAGGTGAAGGAAAAGAAAGTGGAAGACAGCTTTAGTTTGAAAACGTGTCCTGCTGAAATGAAACAAAGAAAATATAATGATTCTACCAAAGCGTGTGATAATTCTGAGGAACAATCTTGTCACGAAACAGTGGAAAATAAAGATACAGATACTTCCAAACTGGATTCAGATGGAAATATTCATCAATTCAAATATTCAATTTCTGGATATCATACATCATCTACAAATATGTATACAAACTATAATTATTACCATGTATGTTTAATACTAGCCTTAATTCTAAGACTTGTGTTAGTTATTTTCTCTGTCTGGCAGGATACAGTTCGTTGGCCGGACGGCCAATTACGATTTACGGATGTGGATTACGATGTGTTTTCTGATGCTGCTCAAGCTTTTGTCGCTGGGAAAAATCTTTATATTGAGCGCCCCACTTATAGATATTCACCACTTATTGCTGTTCTTCTCGCTCCTGGTTACTGGTTATTTTCTGACGGTCAATATTCAGTCAGTGATAAAAAGGAAGTGAATATTAGTTCAGAATTTGTTGACGTATCAGTGGAACCACACTTCCGGTCATCAAAACACATAACTGTTCCTTCTCTCGCTCGACTTTGGGGTAAATTAATATTCATCACTGCTGATTTGATCTGTGGTTGCATACAATATAAAATTATTCAAAATAAACAGTTTGTAAGTTGTTTTATTTTATTCTGGTAACATTTATTTTTTGTTCTATTCTGAATCATGTTTCTTGGTTATCCACAAGGATAGTGCAAGAAGCATCTGAAAGCGCATGCTTTTCTAAAACAGTTGTAACGAGAGAATGCAACCAAACCAAAAAAATGGCGTCAGCTCACGAAGTCATTGACTATTGCTCTAAGCCATCTCGACAGGTGCAAACTGTCTGGTTGCAGTCCACGAGACAATCGAGGTCGGCGGTTGGAGACTGAGTGAAATGGCTCAGAAACGTTTATAATTAAGCAGATGCATGCACTTTTTATCTTCCTGTAAATCTTGACTTTCAATATTCTTTCATAACTACCTTTGCACTCGAGCTTTTTCAAATCATATTCTTATTATCATTACTACTACATCATTTTGATCTCTTCCGCTGTTCATCTTATATTCATTTGATTATGCTAATATAATGTAGGAAATTGGACCAATTCACAACTATTCGAGGTTGTATATTGGTAATGTCCATCTTTTTATCACAAGCGCAACGACATAGGTCATAAATTTGTGTTTGTATCACCGCGGAATTAGCTCGACTCAATAATATTAGTTATTATGTAAGAGTTACCTATTGTACTGTTGCAAGTTGTGCATTGAGTTTAAAATCGATGAATAGTTGATTATAACTAGTGGTTGTTTAGTTTTTCGTATTCCAGAATTTTGTGTTTTAGATTTTTCAGTTGTAAGTTGATCAACACTTAGTGTTAACGATTTAAAAATAGTAACTGTCCGTCTGTAATGTTTCTTTTAGAAAGTTAATTTTGTGGATTTTAAGTAAGTCAGTTATTTGTAATGCAAAGATCGAGCATCTTTCGGTGAAAACGATAACTTGGAAATTTTCAATAAATCTAAACATTGCGCGAGTCGTTTATACTGCTACTATTCTTCTTCTTATTATTACTATTATTATTATTGTCACTGATAATAATAATAGTAGTAGTAGTACTACTAATAAACATATTTGTAGTGTTCCAATATGTAGAAAATTGAATTTCTGGTGTTTCGCAACCTAGTATAAGCCTCTCCTTCTACTATTTCCTACCTTCTATCTTTTTTTAAATCCCTGTAGGTATTACCAAAACCAACTTTGTGTTTTCCCTACCCCAAAATTGAATTATCTTTCAGAGTAGATGACAAGGGAAGGGGTCGGATATTGATGAAATTTGAATGATATTGTTTCAATCACTAAACCTTGATCACTTTATCCCATGATATCTATTTTGGGTTAGCAAGTTTTGCCTAAAGCTACAGTTTTCTATTGATTCGTTCAAGTAACATCACACATCAATTACAAGAGGAATGTCATTAACTTTTGCTAGAAATTTTTTATTGAATATAACTTCGCTATCATTGTATGATTAGAGCACTAAACTGTATGATATTTTAGTCGAGATATTGTTTCATAATTCAACTGTTGGGTTTTTATAACATAGACTGATAAATAATAAACTAAAAATGATGGCGTTAAGCGACATAATTCTAACTTGAGTGATTTTGATTGATATCTGTAAGGAGAAACAAAGATTTTAAAATATTTTTTGTGTTGTTCACTTCAAATAAACCAGGGTTTGTTCTTTCAGTATAAATACAATATTATAATAATTATCAGAAGGGTTTTCGTGGAGATTTAGTATTTTTCATAGTAGAAAGCATGAGTCAATTGAAGGTAGACCACCATAGAAAACCTGGAAACACTGGATGTACGTTCTTTGAATTTGTACAAGTGGGACGCGAACCAATAGGCAGCTTGATAACACGGTGTTATGCTAACAGGTATCAATTCGCTTGTAGTAATATTCTCCTAATGAATTTTCCTGTTCCCCACTTTTTAGCTGAACAGTTTACCAAATCCAAATACTGTCAATCAAAATAAAAAAATCCATCGAGGTTCAATTTCATTCAATTCAAATCAATTAGCATTATATCTTGTTAGTTTCAGTTGGTTATTCAATCCTGTTACATCAGTAGTCTCCGCTCGTGGTAATGCAGATGGATTACAAAGTTGTTTTGTTTTAGCATGCCTATGGTGTATTCTAAACCGTCGTATCATTCCAGCTGGATTTTTATATGGGTTATGCATTCATGTACGTATATTTCCAATCATTTATGCACCATCTATCTATTTATGGCTAATGATGACTGATAATAGTCATAACAAAAATAATCAAAAGAAAAACAAAGGATCAATACTACAATCTCAAAGTGTATTTTCAATTTTATTCAAATTACCAAATCGAAATCATTTTCTTTTTGGTATCAGCTGTTTACTCAGTTTGACGATGTTGACTGGATTATGTTATTTATATTTCGGTGGAATGTTGTTTCTGCAACAAGCCTATTTCTATCACTTTACTCGGTCAGATTTTAAACATAATTTTGCTCCGCACTTTTTAAGTGTTTATTTACTCTCTGGAGAGAAATGGATAGCTGAAAAGCAAACACTGCCTATATATAATTTACGTCAATGGTTGGATAATACTTGGAATAGTTTATCTACTTTAGTAGCTTACTCTGGTTATATTAATAATGCTGGATATTCTTACTCAATATGGAATTTATTGTTAAAAAGTCTTAGTACACCTGAGGTTTTGGAGCGTTTATTTAGTGTGACTTCAATTATGCCGTGTATAATCTTAATTCCATGCCTGTCCTTTAAACTGTATTCCAACATAAGTCTGTGCTGGTTCGCGCTTACTTACACATTTGTCACATTTAATAGGGTGAGTTAAATATTGTCCGGGTGACGAACTATTCTTTCGGTTTTTTCTGTGTCCATACTGAATATTTGTGTTGTATCCGGCTTGTTTATCTCAAATAGAATGAAACGTGGGTTCTGGATCTTTCTAGCCACTACCTAAAGTTATAATGTATTATGTATTTTCTGGACCTTCCATATGACAAATAAGCTTTTGTAGGTGATATTCATTACAAATTAATTTCCCCCATCTGAGACTCTCCTTTCTGTCATCGTTTCAAAACATATTATGTTTAAAATAAAAATTAGTACATCGAATTATCGGTCTATGCTGTCGCATCCAGGAAACGAATTACTCAAACATGTATAAAGCCTTTTGGAATTTAAAGGGTGATATACTTGTGATACTACCCGATCTTAGAAACGGTAGTGGATGGAGTTTGGTTCAGACCTATAATGTAACGGTTGAAAGTCGGACAACTTAACCATCAAGCTACAGCTTCATTGATAAAAAATTTTAGGCTTCCGAATGTACTGATACTTGGGTATAAATTTTAAAAATGTCATGCAAAAATTTACCAGTTAAGTTGTTACAACGATTTTTCAACTGTTACTTCAGGCTTTTTGTTGTTTCCTGCAGATCAGATAATCGATTTTTAGTTCCAGTGTGGTTAGTTTGTTTGATTTCGACCACTTTGAGGCACCTCGTTCCAATCTTATCCCATTCATCTTCAATGTCGATGGTTTTCTAGAGTGTAAGAAATGTGTTCCAGAGATTGTGAGGCAAATTTTATCATGTCATGATCGAAAAATAATCACAAACTATAAAGTCATGTTTAATGTATATATATATATATAAATATATATATATATATATGTCTTCCACTTAGGTATGCACGGCTCAGTATTTTCTATGGAGTATATGCCTTCTTCCAGTTGCTTTGGCTGATATACATCTACCTTCAAGTATTACGCCATATCGTGCTATAGTACAAAATTTAATGTTATGGTTCGGATCTCAAGGTATATGGCTTGCTTCTGCTTATGCACTAGAAATGTGTACATTAAAAGGATCATTTCTAAATCATATCATTTGGATAATCGTTTGGACAGCTTCACTAAACTTTTTTGCCTGTAATATTTTCATTTTATTTCGTTTAATAAGTTGGCGTAATAGATCTTTATCAGATCATTATCAAGAAGTTTCATCATCGAAAATTATTAATTATAAAGCTGTTGTTTCCCCTATTATTGATTCTACTGTTGCCGTAGCAACCAACACTAATATGACTTATCAAAAATATCGCATATCTAACAAGAAAACTTTGTGACAAAATGAATCGATTGCTTGTTTTTTTTCTGTTTAAAAATTAATAATCCACTTAATTTTGATTGTTGTTGATAATATCGATGATTTATTAAAAGAATATTTATCTATTTATTTATTTACGTTCTTCATGAAGGAACGAACGTCGGTGAAATGATTAAAATATATTTTATTATTTGATAAATAATTGACTTTCTTTTTTTCTTACTAAATTGTATTTGTATAAGCATTAATTTTTTTTTGATTTTCTTTTATATCCTTATATATATATATATATATATATATATATATATATATATATATATATATATATATATATATATATATATATGTTGCTGATGAATTGAACACAATTAGAACATTTGCCATGCATTAATTGTACATGTAACTAAAATGATCTGTATAATTAATAATCATTTCAATGTATCTAATGTTTCCTCTTGTTATTGTTAGTAGTTTGGTTCTTCAGTATTTAATGGGATTAATTAAGATGGTCTTATCAGTTATAAATGGGTCCTGATGAAATAATCGATTGGTTCTGGGTCATTTTGCTGTAACTCAATATCTGCGTACAGATTCATGTACTCTATGCATTGACGCTTCAGTTTGGGCACCTGGGTAGTATCACAGCTCTCACACAAATCAAATGAGATTTGTGCTGCGCATATATATTTGGTGTCCCTTTGTACCAATATTTATGTGTTTAAATAATAATAAAATAATGCATTGACGCATACTTTCACTGTGTGTATGTGTACGAGTTTGTGCTAAGTCTAGTGATATATGAAAGGGATTTTGAATCTGTTGTCTATTGATTAGAAAACGAATCCATCCAATAAGATGCTACTCCGATTGCTTTTATTTGATTAATTATATTTTCTATCATTTATAGCGGGTATTGCTTATATTTGTAAATCCAGCGTCAATGTGTCGTTTTAATGTCTACTAAGTGGTAGATGTATTTATGTTCAGTAATTATTTTTGTTTACTTCAGCATATTGATAAATATCTTGAGTATTTCTACAATTTCGCCTCTTTATCTTATTAGTATTATGCTATTCTTCATAATACCTTTACCACACACAGTAAACCATAGTAAATAATCTTGGTCAAAATAATCTTAATTATTCAGTAATCATGTATATGTATAAATATTTTTACTATGTTTTTCTTATCATGTGAGGATCCGAAATTTTAGTTAACTTTCGAATAAGTGAAATGTCATTAAATTTCATATTCAATTACTTTACTGGCTAATATGTACAAGGGGAGCAAGTCATTAGTTATTGATCGATGCTCAACTACTAAGGTTGTTTGTTAGAATCTTAATCTTAGGTACTGAATTGTCGGACAAGCTCTCGAAACTTACTTTATATTGACTTATTATTATAACACTTTTCATGTTATCTGGTCACCTCATGCGAAAGCTAGATTATAACTTATATCGTTTATGACTTACCTTTAATTGTTGCATGACTGAAATGGGAGTTTTAAAGTATAAATCTACTTGCATTTATTATTTTCTATTTCTTTAAGCACCAAACAATAGAATACACTACACAAAATATAGATACTTTTTGAGAACAGGAAATTAAACTTGAAGAGATGAAAGGGAAAAATTAATAACTAAGTAAAATAATTAACAAGAGCAGTACATAGTGGGAAAAACAATTCAGTTAAAAATACATTCAGATACAGCAATATTAATATGCGATTTCGGAACGATTTTCTGTCAAAACGATCCACACTTACCAATGTTTTCCATGTATATCACAGACATATAATCTAAACAAAAGTTACTGAAGAGTAATGGGATCAGAAAGTTTGACCTGCCTATTTGGTATGATGCATTGAAGACTGTTTTTGTCGTGTACAGGTATTTCAAAGTGTTGGTGACCTTTCAATGAACATCTGAAAGAGACAATTCCGAGATAGCTGTATTAGTAATCAAAGTTAGTCTTAATATACAGAAATACAATGTTTTCAATACTCAGTGTGTATAGAAACGTTTGAGAGTCTAGTAATGTGTGAAAAAGTGATGAATGTCAATATTAACTGTGTTAAGTAAATGTTGCGAATTGCCGGTTAAATTTTATCTACAACTTGTATAAAATGCCAAATTACTATTTTAAGCTGAGTATAAGATTTGTGTTTTAGCGACTTTTGCATAATTTATGTATAGATGTAATAACGGAAACTATGTGCTTCATTAATCCTTAGTAATTGGAAACGAGTAGAAAACGGTTTAGAATTTATATAAGAAAAGTGGTAATGTCAATGTTGTAATTTACTAAAGCGTACTTATTTAAAAGATAAAGTAGTATATTTTACTCGTCCAAACACTTGTCGTTACAAGAAAATGTAAAATAACTTGCTTTTATCATGAGATATTTAACGATAGTGTTTTAAAAACAAGTTTGTTAATCCTGATGTAAAGTACTTGAAGTTGCGTCATCATAAAACTCCACTATAGTTTCTAGAGCCATTTCATTTTTCAGTGGTTGAACTAGCATTTGATATTCATGTAAAATTGAACCAGTGTATTTTGTAGTTGCACTTCTTTTACTAGTGAGTAGGAAGAATTAAGTTTATTCCAGTTTGTACACTAATTTTACAGTATCTATACATGTAATTAATTAGAAAACAGTCACTGAACATGTTTATATCTAAACTTATACTTTCTACTTGAAGTTCTTTGACTTCTAAATCACTATGAATACAAATTCAAGATTGATATTGAGTGTTTTGTTCACGAAAACAGATTATTAGTTAGTTAACTTATGAAAATCTGGAAGGGTTGGGAAGCTGTTTCATTCCAGTCTGAAACTCTTCAGCAGTAATAATCTACGGATCCATAATGTGGTTGAATCTAGGGTTAATATATCTTAAAACTTTCTAGTGCTTTTAGGGTTTTGATGTCACTCCAGGTAAAGTTGTATCATAGTGGAACCTTTTAAATTGTTCATAACTTTTACAGAAATTAATTAATTTACAAGCAAAATGATCAATTATTACATTGTTCTTTCTAGCTCGAATTAGGAAGAAACATTATTCAATTAAAATGTTAACCACTATTATTTACGAGGAGAGACTGTATGAATTTCATTTCAATTTTATGACCATGATATTTATTTATTATGATTTTTATATATACTTGGAATTATGAGTCAATTAAAGCTGGACCACTGTAGAAAACCTGGAAGCACTGGATGGCCGTTTCGTCCTATTGTGAGACTCTTCAGCCGTTTTCTACGATGGTCTAGCTTCAATTGACTCATGATATCAAGTATGCATAAAAATTACTTAAAATCTCCACAGAAAACCCCCTTATTTATTGTGAACTTAACCAACTTCACTTGATCGATACTTGAAATATGCATAGATTATTTTATCATTAATTTTTAAAAAAATGTTAACCGGTTTTACCTGGGAAAGGAAACTATTACACTCATATACACGAAACATAAATGTCTAACATAACTTGACCTTATAGAAGTTGTTATATCTTGAATACTTTAAGAAACTGATTGATATCACTTTGCCAGTATATGTATTTAAACAAAGCTTTGTTTTTTTGTCTGTTTCCTTCTTTATATCAAGCTTCAAAAGGATAGAATGGAATTAATGTTTATTGATATGTAAATATGAATGTATCATAGATCTGTCGTTCGAATAAAGAAGTTTAACTTGGGTATATGTTTGTAGTACAGATTTAAGGATAAATAAATAAAAATATAACAGATTTTATTGGATATTTAGGTAAGATTAACTTGGATCATGTTTATATTCATTGTGATTAGATTAAGTGTATTGGATTCTTAGCAATATATATGTGACTAATGAAATCAATGCTTAAGTTCTCTTTTTTACTGAGAAATTTTTCGAAGTAACCGGTCAGTAGTAATAACGGTAATTATTACGGAAAGAAAAAACAGTTCTGTGGAAATGTCATTAAACGTGAATAAAATAGTTGTCCAGTGCTGTCTGCTATTCAATCGTTATCTAAATGCTATTAGTTGGTTAAGGATTATAATTGACTTTAAGAGCTATTAGATGTTACACCAAAATATAGTTCAGGGTTATTATAATCATTTAAAATTGAGTAAAAGACCACTCTCTCTATTCCACATAATTACAACGACATCTTCAAAACTTTGTGAAAATGTTCATTGGTTGTAAAACACCATGGTTTATATAATAAAGATGATATTCAATATTATTGGAGAATCAATATGTATGAAACATTATTTCCACAAGAGTTCATTTCCTATGGACTCAAAGTGCTGTCTAGCTAAAAGAATAATTATTAACATTACACTGAAAATAATGTAGATTGATAAACACTGACAGAATCCACAATATAGTTTTAGGTGTAATGTAAATCTTCAACAACTTACTTTCGTGTTGCAAAGATCTAAACATTGTTGTTTACGTGAACTAATATATATATATATATATATATATATATATATATATATTGGGTGAATTGTTTTTCTCTTGTTTTACAAAAAAGCTACAATTCTCAGACGTTTTAAATTTCTAATGGTAAGTTGCTAAAAGTAGTAGCATTAAATTGTTAATTTACAATATATACTCGCTTTAACATTTTCGCAATCTGAAATGATGAAGAGTAAGCAATATTCATTTGAACAGAATTTAAAATGTTGCATTCTCCAAATACTGTCTAGAAAATGCATAGTGGCTAGCAATGGAATTTGGGACGCACATTGCGTTCTATTTAGGACTCGTCAGCTGGATATGCCTTCATTCCATAGTTGGTGTTCACTTCGGGACAAGCTATTGGCTATCTGGACTCGGTAGCTAAGTGAATAAAGCGATAATGTTTGCAGTGAAAGATACTGGGTTCAAGTCTAGAGGTGAAAATCAACTCTGGGATGCAGGTACATCCAGCTAACGAGTTTCAAATAGGAAGAAACGCACGTCCTGGATTACCCCGATAACCACTATCCATCTTTACTTATAATGCTTGTGGCTTAAGGTAATTTCGAGGCAATCCGCACAGGACGCACATATGCCACATATGACCAATTACAGTCCTGAAAATCGGTGGGAAGATTCAAACAACCAATACAAAAATGAATGTCTATAAAATGTTTTTTCACAATTTCCCCGATCCATATTTCATTCGAATTAAGTTTAAATAATTGGTAAGGCGGATGGTTATACCATAGGTTGTTTATACCAAAAAATTTTTTAACAATGAATTTCAAACACAGTGCTCTATATTACGATTTCCGCCCTCTCCAGAACGCTCTAAAAACCATTGAGAAAGTTGAATAGATATTGTTCCATTTCAGAACTTAATATCTCGAAATATTGGAAATATAAGGAAGTTGAGAGTAAAGAGCATTGTATTCCAAATCAACAGTTTAGAGAAGTTATTCTTGTTGTGAGACCTATAAGTCATTGTTCTCATCGAACACTACGTTATGGTTGCACACTTCTGAAGAGTTATTACAAACTAGGATTAATCAGCTATTCAATGTTAGCTGATTTTCAGTGATTTCCTAACTGATATCAACGCATGAAAAAAATTTTCTTCATATTAGCTACTCCACGTATCTTTTATCTTTCATTCGTTTATATACTTCCAGGAGTAATTCGACTAAGAAAAAAATAACGTGAGAGAAAAAAATCAACTTATCTACAATCACCTAATTGTTTATCGAAAATAACTCAAGTACTCTTAACATTCAAAATAAATTCAAAAGTAAACAAAGTCAAGTATACATGACAACACAGCATAATAAGTCTACCTCTTTATGAAGATATCTTGTAATGATTTGAAAGAATCTTGTCAGAATATCCTGTGTCTAGTTTATCTAAGATTGTCTCGTCGTATTTCGACTGTTATACTTAATGGATTTAAAACGGTATATTCAATTGGTTGACTGTTCATAAAAGTGGAAAATAGAAGTATTTCACATCTGAATAATGTATTTATTTGGTTTGTTGCTATCAAATTTATGTTGTGGATAACAACAAATGATTGTTGTCAGGTCCTGGTGTATTTTTACGATTATGAGAGGCTGGTATATACAGCTGAGTAGCCGCAAATAAAATAAAACCTACATTCAACATTGCGGTTAGCTACAGTCCAAACAAAATGCTGAAAAGATAAATGTATTGAAGCTATAGTGTGGTAATGCTGATTTACACTTATGATGGCTACATAACAAACATGTAAAGTAGTGAGCCTAAAGAGCTGTCAGAAATAAATTTCTAACCGGCATCATATTAAGATAACAACAGGGAAGGGAGAAAGCACCATCTTGAGAAATAACTGATGTTGGAACACCTAAACCATTTTGATACGGATCAACAATCTGTGTAGATTTGTCTTCTGATCAAGAGTAGAGGTTACCTGTTTTTACTCATTCAGAATAGGCAAAAGTAAAGTTCTTTGAGGGACTGGCTCATGATAACTTTGATGAGATTGTTTTGATTCCTGTACTTTATTTCTAAAGATTTGACACAAGTTGAGGTAATATTAGAAACCAGCTATTTCAGGAGTGGTATAACTATCATTGATGACGCTAGATGATCCTCATTCTAAATAATAAATAAATTGAGTTTAGAAGTCCAACCGAACCGATTCGAAATTAGTGCTCTAAAGGTTAAGCACTCACCGCTTACTGATAGGGAATCCTTTATATAAAAATAGAGTTATGTAATACCCTTTGATTTTCATCGGTATCGAAACTTACGTCAATCCTTAAAGAATACAATCTATAAACTAAAGAACTATTTGAAAATTGCTATCATCCATATAAAGCATTGACGGAAAAATATGTCTAACCAGTAAATTCATTTCATATTCTACAGTGATAGGTATAAATTATTAATCGCAATGGATAGACCTATTCAAAACAATAAAATTGTTTTCTAATAAGTGAATACACATTTAAAATCTTTATTAAAGTTTGTTGTCGTTGGCAAATGTTTAGATGGCGAATACATATATATATATATATATATATATTCTATATTGGAGCAGGTTTATTGTGTAAATGAAATTCGAATTTAATGACCGGAATCAATATTGGGAACCTGTTTAGAGAAATAAATAATAAACATATTTAATGTTCGATCGAATGTTATTCAGTACGTGAAGTGGGATTATTAATAAAGGGGATAATATATATGATCAGTACTAAATAAATGGTTTAAATATATGTTATTAGCAAGTAAATTTAATAAATGTTAAATGGAGAAATATACAGGATGAATAGATCGATAAATTAGATATGTTGGATTATTTAATAGCAGGTTTGTTTACAAATGTTTTGATCTGAGGCCAACCATTAGTAAGAACAGAGATTCAACATGCCCTTTTTGAATTGATTGTTCTGGTTTTAAATGTGTGTTAATATCACTTGTATAGGGGGAGGGGGCAAATTCCAAATTCCACTCCTGCATAGTGCCCTCTGGATAGTGGGTGACGTTTCTCCCCATGAACTAACGCAAGTAGGAACAGTAGAAACTAGATTGACCAACCACTTGTATTGTTTAATGATTTGGGGCCAGTCAGCTTTCGATAGATTAATAATAACATTGTTGTGTCTCCAAGAAAAGAGTTATTATTTATTTATTTATCTGGACTAGATGGATTAGAATCGAACGATTGTCAATAACATACATCAGCCTAGCAACATTGAACGGTATTCACGAGTACAGGTTGGTCAATCTTTAATTAGTTCTTAATTGATGGTTAGCTTATTAAATAAACGATACAAATTCACTTGGTGTTGCTTGCTTGTATCTTCCCATTGATGTTTAGGACTGCAATTGATCAATCTCTTTTTCGCATATGTACGTCATGTGCGGATTGCCTCAATATTACCTTAAGTCACAAGCATTGTAAGCGAAGATGGATAGTGGCTTGCAGTGGAATTCACAACGCGCGTTTCATCCTGTTTGGGACTCTTCAGCTGGATGTACCTGCATCTCAAAATTGATGTTCACTCCAGGATTCGAATAAATAAACAGACGGTGCTACAAGTAAATATGTATATAGCATATATTCTCTTCTATTTCAACCATATTTTTACAAGAGATAAGCAAATCATAGACAGTTAAAGTGATAACGTGATCAATCGATTCACCTATTTATTTATTAATTCATCTATACTTTCAATTTCACTGAGTTGTTTCAATAAGCTGAATAGCAAAACTATAGGGGAAAATTAATATTTTCACGTGCTTGACGGATTATCAAATATATGATCGTTGATTATTCATTATGTAAATAAAGAGTTTAGCCAGAACTAATCTAAACCCATTTAATATATAATTCTCCAGATTGGATATTGTCTATATGTTTTCGTTTATTAATTTTTGATTAATTTTCCAAGCGTTACTAGTTTATAAGCAAAGATGGATAATGGCTACCAGTGGAATACAGGACGCGCTTTCCGTCATATTTGGGACTCATCAACTGGATCTACCTGCATCTCAGAATTAATGTTCACTCTGGAACTCGAACACAGTACCATTCGCTTCAAGCGCTATCGCGTTATCTACTTAGATACTAAGTCCTGATAGCCACTTGGTTGTACGATGGGGTGAAGTATAAATTCACTTAGAATTGTTTGTTTGAATCTTCCCATCTTTCCATCTTTGCTTATAATGTTTGTGAATTAAGGCTATATCGAGGCAATACGCACAGTATGAACATATGTCAATAAGAGACTGACCAGTTGTAGTCCTAAACATCAATACTAAATGAAGTTACTAGTTTATGTTTTTTAATTATATAAACTATTTATAACTCATTCATAAAAAAAGAAGTGTATGAGTTCCATTTTTGTCGTCTTCAACAATATTTATTATTTTATATTATCATTATTACTGGATAATTATCGTTATGTATGTACAAAAATTCACTTTTTTCCTATTTCAACCAATCAAATAAAATGAATTGAATAAGTGGGAGATTTACACTAATAAGATGATTGAATAACTAACTAAATTTTATCCAATAGTATGATTGTATTATTTGTGTATTTAACAATGTATAGGTTTACTTTGAATGGATAATGAAAAATCCGTTTAATCTTTTCTATTTACCTTTATATTTACTTTTATAAGAAGATGAATATTTCCAGTTGGTAACTAGTCAAAGAATAGAATATAGTGTCAATGTTATTGTAATCTAAACATTCTAATATGGATTATAAAATGTTACAATGGAGAATAATAAACCTTCAAACTTGAATCTAATTAAACTGTAATGATTATGATAAAAATGAAAATAAAAATATAAACGTAATGCAATCATTTGATCATCAAAATCAAAAAATCAAAATGATTTATAGGTATGTTGTCAAGGTGATAAATTCCACTTTGACATTTTATCATATTCACAGTATAAAATGAACTAATCATTAATAGATAAGATTTGTTTTTCTGTTTTTTTTTTTTTATTAAAAATTTCATTTAAACATGCCGAATTTATGTTAAATATTTAATGGTTTGACATTAAAATAAGAACGATGTATTTAGAAGAGGTTTTGTGAAGATTTATTATTTTCATAGTTGAAAGCATGGGTCAATTACTGAGGAGTTCCACAATAGGACGAAATGGCCATCCAGTGCTTCCAGATTTTACTTGGTGGTCTAGCTTCCATTGACTCACGCTTTCAACTATGAAAATACTAAATCTCCATAAAACCCCTTTTTTAATAATAATAATAATCATATGCTCACTAGTGACTGACTTAGAGAGGTAAACCCAGGAGTTCTAGTGAGAAGCAATGACCAGTTGAGTTCAAACCACGTCTGTTGTGAGATAGGGACTCATTGAAGACAGTTGGTGAGCGGTTGCTCAACTTTGTGGATTGGTTGGAGTTAGACATAAACACCGTTGGATGCCGGCTCAGTGGTCTATCGGTTAAGGGCTCTGGAGCGAGACTGGTAAGTCCTGGGTTCGAATCTCGAGAGGCGGTATCGTGGATGCACACCGCTGAGGAGTCCCCCAGTGAGACGAAACGGCTATCTAGTGCTTCCAGGTTTTCCATGGTGGTCTAGCTTCAATTGACTCCCGCTTTCGACTTTGAAAATAATACATTTGTAAAATATCAGCGAATGAATTTGAAGTAAATTCAACGTTTCGCCTGTCAATCTGGTCCAAGCTTTCATAAATATATTATTCCTATTTAATGTCTTACATCAACTCGGCACCCAAATACTGTGAAACTCTTCTCTCTAATTTAGACGAAAGTTTTTATACATTTAATGGTTTGTTGTGAAATATTTTTAGATTTTTTATTTAATGTTTATATTTTTATTTTCTTAAAATAAAAATCAAAGAATTCTAAAAGATATTACTGAATAATATAAGTAGTTTTTGAATAAGTGTAAAATCACTTTAGGTTGTTAGTCAAATGAGAGTAAAAAAACTGAAATATAAATCAATTTCTTTCTTTTATTCAGTGATAAATTAATCGATAATATAATTTAATTTAATTATTCTGATCAATTGGTTGAACTGATTAGTACTAATCAGTATAGGGTTATGGAGATTGAGATCAATGTTACTGTGTTAGACCACTATTGAAAACCTGGAAGCACTGGACGGCTGTTTCGTCCTAGCATGGGACTCTTCACCAATGCGCATCCCCTTATCATGCACTTGAGACTTAAATCAGGAACCTTCTGTCTAATATTGATCTATTCATGATATCAATCTTAACTGAACAATCTCCACAATCCTATACTAATAGTTTTTCTTATTATAGAATTTTGAATATTTAGACAGATTATAAACTTTAAATTAGAATACGTATCTAAATTTTGCAGAGTTGAGCTAAAATTGATCCAACGGATCAAAATGACCTGGAAAGTGTATTAATTACAAAACTTACAAGACAATGGTTAACTAATATAATTTATATCAAAAAAATCTTAAATGACCGATGTCATCATCGAAAGAGAAATAAAGTAATACTTCCCTACACACAAATATGTTGATAAAAGTATTCAATATATGACTATCATTAAAGATAAATATGTATTCAGCCATTTGTAGTGAAATAGTTGCATGATCATTATTTTAGCTCATTATATGATTCAATATAAATGTAACTAATTATAGAGTGAAATGTTTGTTAAAATAGGTTTGTTGAAATAGATAGGTTAGAGAGGTTTTAAAATATAAAGAATTTTATGATCAGGTAATTAGGTAATCAAAAATAAATCCACATTTTTTTCACAATCGTGTACTGGTCAGTAGATAGAATATTCAAACTTATTTCACCATCTTTTTTTAATGAAATTTATGTTCAGTAAGGATGATTTATGTAATTAATCAGATTGAAAGGGAAGTAATTTACTAGTGATATTGATTGATAATTGCACTATGTTATCCATCGAAAAGAGTTGAAAAAAAAAGATCTTATATATTTCAACTGTGTTCTTAAGTTTAAATTCACTTGATGTTGTTTGGTTGAATCTTCCCATTGTTATCTTGGACTGCGATTGATCAGTCTCTTGTTGACACATGTGCATACCGTGCGGATTGTCTCGATATTACCTTAATTCACAAGCACCATAAGCAAAGATAGATAGTGGCTAGCAGTGGAATACAGGACGCACGTTCCGTCATATTTGACACTCGTCAACTGGATCTACCTGCATCTGAGAATTGATGTTCATTCTGGGACTCGAACCCAGCACCTTTAGCTTCAAACGTTATCGCGTTATCCACTTAGCTACTGAGTCCTTAAGTTGTAAAATGATCAAAATACTAGTATTAATCATCAATAGAACTTGGTTAAACAATCGTTCTTGTCCTCAACAATTCCACTGATAACATCGGATTGTAATAGAATATACTTTTAAAATTAGTATTTTGGATAATATTCCTTCCTTCCTTCCAGCGATAGGAACATGGTTAATCCTAGTAGCCCCATCTGGAGAAGAGTGCTACATCAAAGCACGGCACAACTACTGAGGTGGGATAGCTGTTTTTACACTGCTTACGCAGAACCATCACATAACACTCACATTCGTTTTTTTTAAATTTTCGGGCAGACTCTTTTTTTTACCATACTTTTGAACCCTCAATAGTTATACAATGACTCTTTGTAGTATTCGTAATAGTTTGCGGGTATATGTAGAGTGGTTGATTAGGTCGATCTCCACCACCCACATAACCGCTCACGTTAGTACATGGGATGGTTGCCATGATCCAGGTGACAAGACGAGGACGTGTCAGTCGGATTTTGCCTCGCTGAATAATATTCACTTAGTGAATAATATGAATGTAGGTGATAAATTTGTTAGTTTATATGAAATTGTTTATAGACAACTTCATCATTATCAGTAAATTGTTTCATTTTACTTTTATTTCTCCAATATCTTAACTAAATATGTTTATTATCTACAAATTATCAAACCAAAAAGTAACAAGGTTTAAATTCTGAAAAAAACTAATAAATTCTGTTTATCAATTCATCTGTTCTTGGCATTCAAAAGGGTTTGTTTAAAAGTATTGATCAATGAAAATTTCACTGGCTTATGAATATTTACTTTTCTTTTAAATTAACTAATTTGTTTTGAGTAATGAAGTTTTATTATTGTAAACAATAATAACAACAAACTGATTGTTCAATACAAGATCAAAATTTAAATAGTAATACCGGTTGTTGAAATCTATTTGTTTTCTAAAACAAAAAATGTTATCGTATATTTCCACTTGAAATGTATTGTAAACTAATGAAGTGAGCGAGAACACCCGTAGGGACATTCGATGTGTTTTAATGGAAAATTACAGAATATCTTGGTAAAATATGGGAACTATACAATGAATACTTCATTTACAAATTTCCATCATTTTTCATTCACCCAATTTATGATTCTTCCAGCTTACAATTTCTTTCTCTTTCTCCTTCTATTCTGTCTGACTTGATCTTGTTAGCCATTTACTGCCAGCCATTCAACTTTTGATTTCATAGTATACTGTGGTGTCGACAGATATAAATAGTATGTGCCATCAATCAAAAGTTAAATACCTAGAGGGAGAAGGTTATGAAGATCAAAAAAATGAGAACCAGAACAGAGAGTGATTGGTAGGAAAATGAAAGAACAATGAAGTCTGAGAAAATTGATTGACATTTTGCAAATGAAGTATATGCTGTATGGTTCTCAGATTTTACCACTATGTTTTATAATTTTGTATACAAATACATCCGTTTGTCTCCACTTATCTGCTGACATAGATAAAATGGACCACACTAGTAGTGAACTATTCTCGGGACTGAATTTCTAAAACAAAAACAACAAAAAGAGAACCATCCTTCCATTAAATCTTTTACATTACTATCAATAAATGATGTTTTAATCACAGAACTTCCACTAGCTTATAATTATTTAAAAAACAATATAGCTTGACTTATTTGTAATTAAATTTCATTCCACTTCAGTAGTTTACGTAAACTACAATAAGCATGGGGACAATAAGTTGTTTTTGTTTCTTTCATATTTAATTTATAAAATATTACTATTCCCTAGCTATTTAATTTGGATAATTTATTACAAATTCACTGTTAAACTTGAATATATAGATGTATACTACTGATTTAGTCATTATATATAAAGAATAATTTGATAAGTGTTTTTTTGCTAAGCTTAGCTAATATTAAATGTTGTATACAGTAATGTTATTAAAATAAACTTCGATTGTTGTTTACTTATAATTGAGAAAATATTTATGTTAACAAAAGTGCTTGTGAATTAAGGCTATATCAAATCAATACGCAGAGTATGTACATATGCCATATAAGAGACTGACAAGTTGTAGTCCTGAACATCAATGGAAAGATTCAAACAAACAATACTAAGTGAATTCAAACTTCACTCCATTGCACAACCAAGTGGCTATCAGGACTCAGTAACTAAGTAGATAACGCGATGATGTTTGAAGCTAAAGGTGCTGAGTTCGAGTCCCAGAATGAACATCAATTCTGAGATGCAGGTAGATCCAGTTGACGAGTGTCAAATATGACGGAAAGCGCGTCCTGTATTCCACTGCTAGCCACTATCTATCTTTGCTTATGGTGCTTGTGAATTAAGGTAATATCGAGACAATCCGCACGGTATGCACATGTGTCAACAAGAGACTGGTCAAATGCAGTCCAAGATAACAATGGGAAGATTCAACCAAACAATACCAAGTGGATTTAAAAGTGAATACTTATTCAATTGATTATTATTTGTATTTCTATTATAATTTGATATTGGTATAAGAGTCAATATAACAAAAGTTTTCCTAGTTTTTTGATCATAAATTAAGTAGTAACCAGTAAACAACACATAG